AAAAAAAAAAAAAAAAAAAAAAAAAAAAAAAAAAAAAAATCAAGCAAGTCGCTGTTTTGCTTTCATATCTGCCTGAACCACTAAGAACAAGGTGATGAAGGGAAACATAGTAACCTCTCTGGCCTTTCTGAGAAATTAAGAACTGCCTGCTGAGCTGGGTTACTGCAATCAATTTTTATTTCTTCCCTTCCCTCTTTTCATCTTAAAACAACACTGATCTGTTGGTGTTCACTGTAGGTCCTGATGTATAAATCCACAGGGCATGTTCAGGGTGCCTCCTAGCATTTTCCCCCTTTATACATACTGCAGCAGGGTTATCAATACCAGTCTATCCTTCAAGCCCTGTGTCTTCCTCCTCGCTTTGAAATGGTTTTACCATTCATCCTACCCAAACTGTTGTGATCATCTTGTGTTTTGATGAAAGATTAAAAGTCAGGGTTGAGATAATAACATGCGTGGTTTGGGAGATTTTGTGGTGTTGATGAGTTGCCTCTGGTTCTTTCCTCTCCGAACAGTGAACTCTATTTATCTATCTATCTGACTTTGTTTTGAATGGGAATACTGCTCAGGATTGAGATAGACTTTAGCTAATGCATGTTAGCTAATACTGATTTTAAACTCAAATCTGTTTTATCATGCAGCTGTTAATATGATGTAAAAGTTCTCAACCTTTTTATAGACTCAGCATCCTTCCATAATTTGTTTTTTTAATTGAGTGGCACCTCACTTAAAAAACTAACTTATTACAGGGCTTACCTCCTTGCAAAGGGGCCAGGAAGTAGGAGCAGGGGAATGATTAGGCAGGGAAGAATATGGGCCCCCACTTATCTCCATACATCCCACAGCACCCTTCAAAGAACCTTGTGGCACCTCAGGGTGTCCTGGCACCCTGGCTGAAAAATCACTGGTACAATGCCTTAAAAATCAATTTAGCTGGTTGAGTTGTGGCCTAGATTTGCATTCTGCTCTTTGAAAGTAGCTTTCATGCGTGCTTGTAGCTTCACATTGTGAAACCCTAAGTCCTCAGGGTGTTTTTTAAGTAGGCAGCGTGTACCATAACTACAAAGAAACATTTAAGAGAAAGACTGTTGAAGACCGCAACAGAGGAGGATAAGGTGCATGATGCATAGTGCTGACATTAAAACCTAAGGAAGCTCTTTCTGAGAGGAGGAATAACGTTTCACTGAGGATCCCAATGAAGACAGAATCTTGGAAGGCTCAGTAAGCCAAGAGTTTACACTACCCCTAAGCTGCAGACAGAAGTGATCAAGAAGAATCAAAGACTCTCCTTGCATCAACCTGAATGTGTTGGAACTTACAGAAAGAACAATGCCTAGTCTTTGTATCTTTTCTCAGACCTCTTAGTTTTTTGGAGAAAGTGGAAAAAAAGATAGGGCAGCCAACACTGACAAACAGTAAAAAGATGTGAATGCATATTCATGAATAACCACTGATTGAACAAAACTTCTGACCTTTGTAAAAGGAGAAAAACTAATAAAAGGAAATCATTTGGCTGTGGCCTGTCAAAGATCTTCCGAAATAAGATTCCAAGTAAGAATTTATGGTTTGCTCGATTCTAGTGAAATTCACTGTGTTACTAAAAATGTTTCTTTTCTGGCCAAACAGAA